CCATAATATTTTTCAAAATTATGAAATTCTCTAGCTGATTTAAGATCACTATCATACATTCGCGTAACATAAAACGATAGAAAAAGAGAGCGAAAAATTAATCCAAAAAAAATCATCATCCAATCATCAAATTAAATTTATTGATTTCTTCCCCCCCACCCAGTTTTTGATTCCACAATATTTTTCAAAATTATAAAATTTTCTAAATGGGTTAAGCTCTCTATCATACACTTGCATAACACAAAACGATAGAAAAAGAAAGCTTAAAAATTATTCAAAAACCATCATCTATCATCAAATTAATTTATTGCAGTTTCTTTGGCGCAGTTTTTGATTTCACAATATTTTTCAATATTACAAAATTCTCTAGATCAGCGGTTCTCAACGTTTTGACTAACGCGTACCATCTAAACAAAAATTGAAAACCGTACCACCACTACCAAGTACCACTACCAGACCTCAATCAAAACCTCCATCAGGATGTTGGGGTTTTAATTTTTGAATTTAATAGTTAAAAATATTTTGCTTCTTTGCGTACCACCTATTTTTCTACCAGTGGTACACGTACCACCGGTTGAGGACCCCTGCTCTAGATGATTTAAGCTCACTATCATACATTTAATACAAAAGAAAGCTAAAAATTATTCAAAAACCATCATCCATCATTAAATTAATTTTTTGCAGTTTTTGATTCCAACATATTTTTCAAAATTATAAAACTCTCTAGATCAGAGTTCTCCAACCCTTTTGTCCTTAAGAGCACATCCTGGAACATCTGCTAGATGGAGGACACAATTCCCTTTTCAAGGTGAATTTATAGTTGGATAGAGTTAATAACACATGCACAGAAAAAAAGATCGGTCGCATTTCGCTTTGTGCTATCCGTTGGACGCAATTTTCTATTTCATGAAAAATGAGACAACTTTCTCATAGAATTTTATTGAAAATTAAAACATTTTTTATTGTGATCGCACAGCGGCGGGCGCAATGGCGCCATACATTTGCCAAACACAAAACGATAGAAGCGAAAGCTAAAAATGACCTTAAAAACCATTCTTTTTGTGTATTGCACAAGTCGCGAGTTTCTGAAATGCGCATGTAGAGCGCACGATTAAATTGAAAATATTCTTTCATTACTTCCGATATGGCAACTAGTAAATGAGGATGGTATTCCTGAGAACATAAATTACCATCAACATTAATAATTATACTTCTGTAAAAAAAATGCTTACAAACCTGACCATCAAAAACATTTGCATTAACAACCACTAAAATGTCTTAATTTCGGTAACAACGTAAAATATTTCTGAAGACTGTGGAAATTAGAAATCTGTATTCAAATAAACTATTTTTAACGGTAAGACTGTTTTTTATGCGCTTCTCAAACATAAATTTAATCTTTATCTCAACATGAGGCTGTTTATCTTCCAAACTCATTTGTGATTCGTTTCCAAAAATGAATCATTCTGAAGTGTTTATATTATTTTTTCCCTTCCTGTCTGTGCAGCTGGCAGTTATACACAGCAAATCAAAATTCAAGAGCTTGCAATTTATGGCTTTGATTTCGAAAGCTGTTGATTACGTAAGCGGTGGATTTCAGTAACATTCAACGAAAAACACTGCTGACAAAGAAAATTGCCTGAGTCATTCGTATGGTTAAAAATCACATTAAAATAATTGTAGAAGAAAGGTATAGATTCTATTCCATGAATAATGAGTATTTCTTGAATTTCTAAAAATAATTTATGACATAAGCCTTTTTGTAAGTTTCCCCCTTTTCATTCAAGATCTATTTTCTGTATTTCAAAATATTATTCCTCATATTTAATATAAAAACTAATTATAAATCCTTTTTACAACTGTTTTATGCTACAGTATTTTCTACAATTAATCTGTAATTTTTCTTGCTATATAGTGTTAATAAACCGATTTATCTCACTTCCACTTCGTTATGTTTGTTTAGCAGACTTCCAGAAGAGATGCCATGAATAGGCTTTAGTATGATAAATTTATTATGCAGATCGATAATTACAGCCACCGATTAGTTGTATTCTCTACAACGACCACCTCCAAAGATGACCAAAATTAGCTGATGCTGTGAATTGTTATCCTAGAGAAAATTCTCAGTATTTAGACCAGTAGTTCTTAAGCTGGTTTGCCCCATGCACCCCTTTCACTGCTGCTAGAAGATCATTCCCCCTATCCAAAATTTGAAAAATAAATGTACATTTAATTTAGAATTTTTTAACATGTTTTATTTATTTTTTCCTTCCTTCCTGCATGCTTTCGTGGTGTAAAGGTATCTCTGCACGTATTCGAGAGATCCAGGTCCGAGTCCCGGCGAGGTCACTGCACATTTTTCACGTCTGTTTGTTACTTCAAAAAATTCTAATAATTCTACTGTGCCCCCCCCCGAACTGAAACGGTGGTGGACAATAATTCTTCACCACCAGGATTTGATGATATGTCTTCCCTAATCAGTGGTCGCCCTTTAAAAGGATATAACAGCAGTTCTCAACCTTTTGACTAACGCGTACCATCTAAACAAAAATTGAAAACCTTAGCACCACCACTACAAAGTACTACTACCACCACTACTCTTGAACAAAGCTCAGATCGCATAAATTTACGAGTGTTACAGAAAAAACTCAGTCTGTTGGGGGGTTAATTTTTAAATTTAATAGTTAAAAATACTTTGCGTATCACCGGTTGAGAACCCCTGAGATATTTTCTCACGCCTTTCGGCACGCCTTCGTGGTGTAACGGTAGCTCATTTGGCGCATATTCAAGAGGTTCAGGTTCGAGTCCCGGCGAGGACATAGCACAGTTCTCACACCTCTTGCTTCAAAACAGCCTAATGACTTTCTGTAGTTATACAGTTTTATAAACTAAACAAAAAAGGATATTGTTGATAAATAACAAAACTTGAATAAAAATAGTTTTTTAATTCAGAAACTAAAACAGCTAAATAAAAGGCTGACCGCATCCCCTCCATCCTGAAACTATGAAATCCCCTCTAGGGGGTAATTTCCCCTCCCTTTCTAGTTGAGAAATTTAGACACTGATCCGTCTGAAATATTATCTCCATGACATTCTGCAGTGGCAAAAGGAAAATTCATGTTAGCTTGTAGGAATATTTACAGAGTCCAGGACTTATCCTGAAGCGGGACATTGCAATGAAATCCCAGAGGCAAGTTTGGCCATTTTGATGAAGCTGGAGAGATCTGCAAAGATTTTGACATTTTCTGATAGTTTAGCAGGCAATGCAGCTCTATTCAGGAAGTTATCAAGCTTTGATTGTAATATTTATTCCTTTTTTTCGTTTCACAGTTCTCCTGTAGCAAGCAGGAACATCCTATAATGCCGATCAGCATATGCTTATATTTTATTCATATCATTCATATGAAATTCATATCAGCATTTGCTGATATGAATTTCATACTGATCTAATCAGTACAATACAGATTTTAAGGAATGTATTTGAATTTAGATAATTTAGATAGATTTTAATTCAGATAGTATAATTAGGATAAAACAAAGCACTTGCTTCTAAGCATTCTTCGAAACAACGGTTTCCGTTGATTTTTTGCCATAATCAATAAAGCTTGAACGGTTAAAAACAAAATCTGAAAACTTTCAGATTTTATATTACGCCCGAAGGGCAGTTTTTACCATTTACACACACATACGCGTTTCGAGAACATTTGAACTAAAATATTTAAAAACACCATATTTTAAGAATTTCAGATAGACAGTCTCTCGCGCTGGAGATAAAAATGCTTATTCCGTACAGTATTGCCACTGCTTACTTTGAAATCGGCAAATTGTTTTAACCAAAACTTCGTTAATGTAATGTAAAACATATGTTATTAGATTCCCCTCCTTTCCTAAAGGTACAAAGTGTTCGAGATCTGGTCTCATCGGTTGGGCTAATAATTGATTCACTCATTACACAGTTAACCCTTCTAATGACTCCCTTCTTCTAGTTTTCTTCTTTTTCTTTTTCTTCTAATAACCTTTCTCCTTTTTTAGCCCTCCTCTTTTAATAATAAATTTCTAAGAACTATCATCAGCTTTATTCTTCTTATAGTCGGTTAGTGATTGGGAACTATACCTGTTCGATTTTAATGACGTTTTTGGTGCTCCCAATACGTTTACCTGTACCTATATATTATAGAAGAGATATTTATGTCTAAACGCTATTGCACTAGAGAAACACTGGAATATAGTGCACTAGAACACACAGTATATGCACAAAGAGAATATGATGCATTACTAAATCTTGTAAGCATATTCTTTAAGCATGAGGGAATAGAGTCTGCAGCCTGAACGTGAAGGAATAGAGTACTAAATAGAGTTTGCAGCTTCAGCTTCTTGAGAATAAAAATCTACAAAATCCGCAAATGCAATTCTTTACCTTCATAAGCAAAATTTGATTGACATAACGTAAGTATTCTTCTGTTGCGTCGATCTCGACGCCTCGTTATAATGCGAACTGCTACGAATGAAGTTTGGGGCTCCAGTGAGGTCCCATCTGAGGTTTATTTTGGATAATCTGGAGCTGTTCAATGTCCTTTTTTGTACCAGTGACGAAAACAGAAGAAGCGTAACTAATTATCGGATGGATAACTAAGAGGAAGACATATCTTTTCCTAGTGAGGTATTAAGAGATAACGGCCGACCAACGGCCGTGCGGTAAAATCGCTGAACACTGGTAGTTCGGTCCGGGATTTGAATCACGGCGAACAGGCTGGCTGCATGGACAGTTTCGTGCCATTCGCCATGTGGAACATGTATACAAGCGAGTTTCATTTAGAAAGTCCTTCACGAAGGCATCCCTCCCTTAAGCAGATAGCTCTCGAGTGCTTATAAACCAAATAATAACTTAGAGTAAATCCTGTTCGTATCGAAATTTTAAAACTGAAAAAAAAATCTGCTATAAGTATTCATTTGATCCTTCAGTTCCCAAATCTGTTAAATAAAGGAAATCAAATACCGTCCATCCACCACCATCGGTAACCATATCACAAAACACTTCTAGAGGCTTGTTGTCTAGTAATCTACTCTTCGGCCAAACTTTGTACACTCCGCTGGTATTGTAGCCGCGGTTCAAAAGCTCTTCGCAATCCAGAGGTTTAAAGAGAGATACATGACCTTAAAAACAAGATTTTAATAATTATTTCTCAAACGTAAAGCTAGATAACATGGCAAAGAAACCTTTAGATGAGAAACTATTTTAATATCCATTTAGATTTAAAAATTCAAAACGCGCGGAATTTCTTTTCATCGAGTCGTTATTATCCAGTATAGCTTTCAGAACAGATACAGTTTCTCACATTATTAAATTATGTGTATTTTAAAATAAATTAAATTAACTTTTCACTTATAGACTAAAGAAATGGGATAAATGAAGAATAATCCTCTATTTAATATCACTTATAAGTGTTATTTCAAACTTATTTGAGGGTTTCAACAGTGGAAAAAAGTCCTTAAATTATGAATATGCAAAACAGAAACTGAGATGAAAGTAAAACATATTTTTCTTTTAAGGTGCAATTGTTACACATTTGTTTTTAATGTACACCATATAAAAATATGTAATATTCTGATATAAGTGTTCTAACTCGAAGCAAATCATTTATCTGTTCGAATTATTCGAATTCCAAGGTCATGGAGGACATTTAGATGCAGTGCTTCGATGATGACCAGTTATAATCATCACCGATATATGACAACTGTTATGCATTTCAGAGCAAAACAATATGCCTGATTATAAAATCAGTATTCTATACAGGCCTGAATATCATACAGTATATCCTTAAAATAATCTTAAAATAGTTATACTTAAAATAGTCTTACTTCGATTGCAAGCTCAGAGTACAGTGACCTTCGTTCCTCATAAAGATCATGACCATAATAATTCGCAGGGTATCGCGTAGAGTCAGGCGAAAAGTGTGGTGTATCATTCAAAGTGCATTTGTGTGTGTGCGTGTGTTTTACATGGTCTCTTGATTACAGTTAGAAAAAATAGTTAAAAAGAATGAAACATAGTAGTATGTATTTTTGAACTGAGAGGACGGAAAGGTATTTAAAATTGCATTAAATACAGTCAAAATGGACGAGTGCAAAGGAATGCAGTTGGAAAGACCTCTCTGCAGACGGAATTTTAGGCTGTAATATTAAAAAAAAATTTTAATATTTTCATAAATTGGGGGGGACTGTTATTTCAGTCACTAACAACTTAATAAAATATTTTATCTCATTTTCTGATACATATGAAGATAATGCTGAAATAAGTTTCATCGTATCTTGGTTACCTGGCAAAATCATCGAAACCTTTCACAAGGTAGTAGATTTGTGCTTAGTTTTAGTTTAGTTTAATTATGGCAAAGCATCCGAGGGCTATCTACCTAAAGGAGGACTTTTTAACGGAAATTGGCTCGCATACATTTTACACATGGGGGGGGGGGGGGGAACCAAGAAAACACTCATGTAGCCAACCTATTAGCCGAGATTCGAGTTCTGGTCCCAACTACCAGTGTTCAGCGACTTTACCGCTCGGCCTGGTAATTATTTGTGAAAAACGTGTTAATACACCGCTTTAAAATCTTTTCCTGCGTTGTGTGGAGAGAGTTGAAACCGTAAATAGGAATCGAAGATTTTTGATATTTTGAATCCCCGAACTATGAAAATTTTGGAAGTCTGAACTGAATTTATTTATTGTTCTTTTATCAGTAATGAACAACATGTGTCAAATACAGACATAATTATTCGTGATGTCACATCATACTTTGAAATTCAGAAGAAAGTTTCAGACTTTGCTCGCTAAACGGGCAAATATGAAGCTCAAATTTATTGTAGAACTAACTTAACAGTTTGGATAAACGCAGCTTTTCTGATTTAAAAAACTCCTAAATCTCTTATAAATATTCTCTTAAATATTTTCAAGAACATAGTCAAAGGTATGCAGTTTATTGTAATTCTAATATTTTTAAAAATATCATATAATCCAATTAGCATTGTTAGCATACCGTATTTACTCAAATATAAAATTCTCCTTAGCATAAATTTTAAGAAATAAAAGTTCGGAGGAATATTTGGCAAGAGCAGACATACTTCTGATTAAAATTAGCAGTAAGCTATCAAATAAATTCAGTATTTTACTGTGACATAGAAAGAAAAGTTAGGCAAAGTTAGTGTTACACTAAAGATTCAGTAACCTTGTAGAGACATTAGGTAATTTTTGGAAGCAGAAGATATGAAAAATTAGCAACGCCTTCGCCGGGACTCGAACCACGGAACCTCTAGAATACCGGCCCAGCGTGCAGAAACACTACACCACGAAGGCACACTAGGAAAGCGGGAGAGATACCTTATATACTCCCTTTTTTAAAGGGCGACTGGGGATTTTAGGGGATCCAATCGCCAAATCCTGGGTGTGGAGAGTCATCATCCACAACTTTTTTAGTTCGGGGGCCACCGTAAAGACATTAGGATGTTTGGAAGTTGGAAAGATGAAAAATGAGCAACCGCCTTCGCCGGGAATCGAACCACGGGCCACTGGAATACCGGACCAGCGTGCAGAACCACTACACCACGAACGCACGCTAGGAAAGCGAGAGAGATACCTTATAACCTTTATAGAGAATATCCTATGTCTTGCAAAAGACCGAAAGAATGCAAATCCCCATTCCGAGGAGAGAACCTGAAGAGCATTTATACTCCAACAAAACAAACCCTAAAAGACGAATCAACTGTATACCCTCATGCTCATACGTATCTCTGCTCCTTCTTTCCCTGAATATATAAAATTTCAAAACTTCTTTCATTCGTTGAACTCACCAGCCTTGACAGCTGACAACTCAGTCTCAAAGAACTTGAAACTGGATCAAAGAAACTTCTTGTTTTTGGTTCAGTGGTCATGTACACCATATGGTGTCCTACGATATGCTTATTGTATCCTCCTTCTTGTAGAACTGGATGTCACATTTGTTATTTAGAACACACAAAAAACTGAGCGTGAAGATAAAGGAGAAGTAATGTAAAGGTATTTTCCTTTAAACAAATGGAATGTAGATCCTAACAACTTAAACATGGATGATTTTAAAAGTTAGCGATTTTTCATTAAATTTTTCAAAAATTCTGCAAAAAATATGTAAAATACGAGAAACGTTTCAGTCGAAGATATCGATACAGTTTGTAATATACCAATTTCATACCTTTTCAGGTTCCCTATACAAGTATAAAATAACATTAGGGGCACAGGATGCTGAACGAGACCAAAAGGTTCGTTCCTTATATCCGGGGTTTGTAACAACCTGTGTTCGACTGAATATGGATTTGCTTATATGTTAATGATGTACTTACATGTTGGGATATTTTCCTTAATTTTCGTGATTGAGTCAATGGCAGTGTCCAGAAGTGCAGCAAATTTTTCTTTACGTCCGCAAGCTGAATACGACATTTGCTTCCCAGAAGTTAAGGTAAGCATCATGTAGAAAGAAAGCAGTATAAAATACATTTTCCTGTGTAAATAATAAGAGCAAAATATCACATACAAAATATTTCAGTTTCATAATCCCAGATTATATTCGTATCTAAATAAGAAATGTTGCAAATACATATGCAGTTCAACTTCAGTGTTTGAAGTTCTGGATAAAACTGAACTAAATATTTCAAACAGACACAAAAAAAAAAAAAAAAAAAAAAAAAAAAAAATGAAAGGTTTCAGATTTTAAATTACGTCAAAAGGGGCGTTTTTTTTTTTTTTTTTTTTTTTTTAACGTTTTGTGGGTTACCTTTATTTATTAAATATCATGTTCTTTGCACTTAAATCATAAAATTCAGTTCAGTAGCAATGTCGCAAAATAATTTTAAAATGAGCCTATCTTTAGAATTTCCGATACACAGTTCCGCGCCCGCTAGAGATAAAAAGAAAAAAAAAAAAAAATTCTCCCTGTCGTAGAGTGTTGCCATTGATCGGTTTTAAATCATTGAGTTTGTTACTCAAAAATTCATTAGAGTTTTACAAAACATGAAATCGATAATAAAACAAATTCCAAATTTTAAATTTGGTCTTTCACATGCATATATTCGTAGGAGGATTACGTCATTCAAAATTCGATGGCTCTATGCACCGTTGTTTTATAACAATCTGAGAAATAGACATACATTTATGCAGATTTTTCATTATTTAATTTCTTCAAATATAATGCAAGACTCTAACGTTTGGTAGGAACAGTTTGAAAAAATAAACGGACATTTATAGTGATTCAACGCAAAATCGCAAAACAAAAGCAATAGTCCTTTAGATACAAAGCCCCTTTCGACTAAAAAAAAAAAAAAAGAACTTTGTTTATCTTAAAGTTTGGAAATAGAAATATATATATATATATATATTTAAAAAAAATCTGAAAGCTTTCAGATTTTTATATTACACCCAAACAAGTTTTTTTTTATTTGTTTAACATTTTGTTTTTGTAACATTTATTAGTAAAAAAAATCATGTTATTCGCACTTAAACCACATAAAATTCAATTCAACAGCAACGTCGCGAAATATTTAAAAACAGCATAACTTTAGAATTTCCGATAGTGCAGCCTCGTGCTAAAAATGAAAATGTTTTTTTCTGTGTACAGAGTTGCCATTGCTGGCATTGAAATCGTTGAGCTTGTTAATCAATTCGTTAAAGCTTTGCAAAATATGAAATAAACATTAAAACCAATTCGAAATTCAAAATTCGGGCTTCCAGTTGCCCATTTTCGGATGGAGTATTACGTAATTTAAAATTTGATGGCTCTAGGTACCGTCGTTTTCTCACATTGCGACAAATATACATACATTCATACAGATTCTTCATTATTTAGTTTCTTTAAATATAATGCAGAGGGATAATATTTGGTAGCAACATATTGAAAAGTGATTCAGTCTTTTAGATTCAACGCAAAATGCCACTACGAGACTAATAGCCCTTCTGGGCTAACACTCTTTTGGGCTGAAAAAACTGAAAATTGTTGATTTTCCTGAGTAAGTCGAATTTTACTCTAAATGTTGAATTAAGTCGAATTTTTCCAAAGCCAGCTTAAATTATCTTCTATAGTTTTCTTTGCCGATAGAACGGAGTCTAATCTTATAAGCCCGAACAGGTGAGATGACATACTTGATACTTTATTTATAAAATTCTAAAAGTTGAATCGATTTACGCATCGGCGGCTATGGAAAATTCCTCCGATTCACCCTTGGTATAATAGGCAGAGTACATGTTGTCGTCAAAGCTGATAAACTCGTTCAGTTCACCATTAGCAGGCATGCAAGTGGACACATCAGGTGTTTCTCATTTGAACAGGGGCAAAAGACCTCTCTGAAGGGCAACTCTGTCCAGGTATTGATAGGACTGACCTTTTCATCAGTCCTCTTTTTGTTTATGATTTTTCGAAGATTCTTGGGCTTGTGGACTTGGCCTAGCCCAGCGGTCGTCAACACTTAGAACTTCACGGACCACTACATATATAATTTTACATTTGGCGGACCTCTAATATGAATTTTTTTAAATAAAGCTAAATACATTTACACAATAATAATCAGCAAACTAGACATATTTCGTTCCCATTGAAAAATTACATAAAAAGTACAAAAATCTTACCTTCTTGTACAGAGAGCTTCACATTTCCATATCACTGAAAAGGAACTTCACGAATAGCAAGAACAAACCGGCAAACACAAAGCAATATCACTAAATTTACAATGTTATGCCGCCAATTTTTAATTATTGTAAACATAATAATCATCACTTACTCAGCAATGACGCCATCGATCAACAGTTAGACAAAACAAAAACGGAAACTTCCAGTAATGCAATTAGAAACAAGAATGCAGATGGTTCTCATAAAAGTCCATCAAGATGCCAACTGACACGGAGAAAAACTGTGTTATTCACAACCACAATAGCATATGTTTGAAATTCAAAAGGAAAGAGAATTCCACTTCGCGCTATTATTGATAACAGCAGCATATCCATGGATGCCAACTCTCACTTTCAAATGTCGCTAGATACACCTGCAAAAGTAGCTAAAAAGTCGCAAAATTCATAAGGAATTTCGCTATAAGTAGTAGCTAAAATTTAGAAAAAGGATAATCCATATTCCATAACAGGTTTTGTTATTCATTTTTTAAACTGAATCTTCATAAAAATATAAATAATGTCCCAATTTTTCTGCGGACCATCAAAACGTTTTCACGGATCACCAGTGATCCGTGAACCACCGGTTGGCGACCGCTAGTCTAGCCTGCGGCTAGATCATATGGAACAAGACAACAACAGCAACATATCTGCAGAATTCCTGAATCATTATTTAACCATACTCTGGATTTCGAAAATATTTCGAAGTGCATTTTAAAGAATAGTTCCTCTTCCCCAAATAACCAGACACTTGCTTCTTAAGCATTTGTCAGGAATGACTGACCCCGCTGGTTCTCTAGTTGTCTTACCACCGGAAGCTTTTCCCAGTGTGCACCATAAAAGATAAACCGATATGGTAGCCCCGAAAAGGGTGAGAAAGGATGCACATAAACAACCAGACTTTACGCGGGATTCAAAACCACTGGGTTCCGAGCTAAATGTCAAGCTCAGGTTTATAAAAAAATATTGTAATTAAGTATTTTGCAATTAGTACTTATGTCTTGGTTAAGGAAAATATTTTTATTCTGTGTTTTAAACTAAATTTCTTTCGGAAATAGAAACGTTTTTAAAACATGTAGTTACACTGTTTACACTCTTGTTTTCGTATAATTTTTCTGTTGTTGAATTCCATTATCATTTTCAATCGGATATGATACCGGCAATGTATGAAATACCAGAATTCTTCTAGAATACCTAGCATCTTTAATTAGACTTGTTCTGCCTATGTAAAATTTAGGTAAGCATTCATTAAACAAAAATAATATCTTATTTTTTAACAAATCTATTATCCTAATTTATTCTTGCATAAATCCTCCATACACCTTGTCAGGTGTAAATGAGCGAAATGTAAAGTATTTTATTTAGTCTTCACGTGAAATCCTGCATAATCAGTTTTCAGAGTTTTGCCATTTAGAAAAACGTAAGATTTTTAATTTATCTTCTAAATCAATTCATAATTTATCAGTAAACTGAGAGATTGGAAAGCAATGCACGCATTTCTTAATTTAATGAAATCTTCATTTTATTTTTAATGACTTTTCTAATCGGTATAAATTAAAATATATTTCATTTATAATATTCGGCTGACAATTTTATTAATATTTCAGATTTATTGTAATTAATACAAGATATATCCCAATGTCGAATACCGTATATAGATTATACCGTACAAAAAAGATTTCATTTTGTTTTAAAATTTAAGCCCCAGTTCAACTAAAATGAACAATAAGATTTTTTTAAATACATAGTAATGAATTCATACTTACATGACGGTAAACTTTGTAAAAGAAAGTTTAAAACGTACTACAGTAATATATTTCGCAGAATATTTAAGACAGTGCTAATGCTAATGTAACAAGCGTACGGCTTTTGGTAACCGGACACTTAAATAGATAAACTAAATTATTTTTTATCTTTCAAGCCGATAAGCATATGCATATTTTCGTATGAGAAAACAAGTCTGTAGTATTTTTAAATAAATTTTAAATCACCTGCCGTAGCTAAATTTTATACATATCATTTGATATCAACCACTTGCATTAAACATTCGACAGAAAAGGAGAAAGGGGGGGAGGGAACTCCATAAAACAGACATGAGTTAAGAAATTCTTAAACTTCCTCGCAATATACTTATTGTTGTACATATCTCTAAATATTTAAATCCTTTTTATTGCATTGTTATATTACTTAGTTATTTATTTAAAATTTTTATCATGTACTTATTTATTTACATCACATAAACTTTTTATCAGTGTTGTTTATTATGTGGATTTGCTGATTTTGTTGTTCTGAGAGTAGCAACATTCAGAATGAAAAAATCGCTTAAGTGAAACTCGAAATACACTGCCCACTGGCCTTGACCGATCTTACTCAATAGTCCTGAACATTCGATTTATACTAGACCGGTGCCCGTTTTAAACTGGTTAAGAGAGCTAGCTGTTGCTGTTGCTTTTGACCGCGTCTGGCATGCAGGAATTATTTTCAAACTTAATCAACATGGAACTCTCACGAGAAATTATTAGCCCAAAGGAGCGTTAGCTCAGAAGGGCTATCAATTTCGTTTTAGTATCGTCAATTCACTGATCCTCCTCCGAATATGGGCATCTGAAAGCCGAAATTTGAAATTTGTTTTTGAAGAAAAAAATGAGTCTAAACAGATTACAGCATCAATGAAAATTTTTAATGAGAGAGATTAACTTAAACACAGCTTCATTCAGGGAGAATAGCGAAGAAATAAAAAACAAATTATGCATACAATACAAAAATACGTAAGAAAGGGTTACGTCATCACCGCGCGGATAAACGCTAACGGCGCATGCGTCAAGAAAAGCGGTCTAAGCTAAACGGCGTATTATAATTTATGACGCAACAGTTTTCTTATCGATTTCATATTTTGTTTTTACGAATTTTTAATTAAGAAACTCAACGATTTCAAAGCGAGCAATGGCAACACCTGTACCGGGAAAAAAAAAAAAAAAGAAACATTTTTTATCTCCAGCGCACACTTAAACCACAAAATTCAGTTCAAGAGCAATATCGCAAAATAATTTTTAAATGAGCATATCTTTAGAATTTCCGATACACAGTCTCGCGCCCTAGAAATAAAAATGTTTTTTTCTGTACAACGTTGCCACTGCTCGCTTTGAAATCCTTGAGTTTGTTAACTAAAAATTCGTTAAAGTTTCACAAAATATGAAATCGATAATAAAACAAATTCCAAATTTGGACTTTCAGATGCCCATATTCGGGTAGAAACGTACATTATTCAGAATTGGATGGTTCTAGGTACCGTTGTTTTATCATAATGAGAGAACATACATACATTTATGCACATTCTTCATTATTTAATTTCTTTAAATATAATACAGAACGATAATATTGGGTGGCAACAATTTGAAAAGTGAAACAATGCTTGTAGTGAATCGACTCAAAATGCCAAAACGAAATTAATAGTCCTTCTGGGCAAATTGCCCCTTTGTATAAATTATGCATATATTATGCATTAAGTATCTTTTAAGCATACTTATTAAAATAAAAAATAAACAACATAAAACATAAGTATTCCTTAAATATAGTTAAAAAAATACACTTTTAATGGGAGACTTGTCCCTGCACCATTCTAATTAATATTGCAATATCAAGGGTATAATTTGTGATTTTCAGTTCGACACATAGTTTCATCAGTTCGACACAATGTTTATTTGTTAAACAACTTCTTTGGAGACTCAAGATATTTTTCATATGATTCACACAGATAGATTCAAGTGGAACCAAAAGTGGAAAGCAAAGCACATGCAACTTGCTTCAGATAATTAAATCTCTTTGGCAATTTAAAACAGCTGTCGATTTATCGTAATCTTCCAGATTTTTTTCGTAATCCCGTAAATTTTACTTTTCATAATTCTAAAGATGTTAGTTCACTGAGTTCAATTTTAAAATAATCAACTTCCATCCACTCAAAAGTCGACAAAGCGGTTGGGGTTGTGAGCGAGTCTATAAAATGTGGTTTGATTAGGAAGGAAAATGTAATCATAAAAGCTTCAAAGTTTTTGCATCTTTTGGAAAATTCCTCCTTAAATGCTTCATCATAGGTCTGAAGTTCATCTCTGTCTATGGTCGGTGTATTTGGAAGCACTATAACATATTAACGCTATAACGTAAGTATTTGTATACACTAGTATTAATATCGCGGAAAAATATAGATAATTTTGTAGCAAAGCCTTTCCAATATTCAAAACGCTCCAGCATTGTTTGGCCCTTTCCTTGCATTCCTAATTTTAGCTCATGGCGATGTTTAGTTATATCAGTCAGAAACATTAATTTGCATAAACCATTCTTCATCGTTCAGTTCGTGGAAATGTTATTCCTCCTCAATAAGAAAAAATTTAATGTGTTCCATGCATGGCCCAAACTTATTCAAGACATTACCTCGACTAAACCAAAGAACATGGCTTTATAAGGGGAGATCCTCATATTCAGCTTATTACTTGAAAAATAAGAAATATCGTCTGCCGTTTATAAATTTATTCTTCTTTCAAAATGTCGCATGTAAACAAACAGTGGATTGAAGGATATGTTTTAGCGCTTTCCGAAACGAAATATTGAATAATATCCGAAAATAGTATCCATAATTGAAAAACGTTATGAAATGTATAGTATTAAAACTTCTCAGCTCAAAATAACCAGCATTATGAAGCTAAAAGAAAAACAAAACGGCAATCATTACTTTTACACTTCTAGAAAGACTTCAAGCAAATACCGAAAAATGGTATGTACTGTTTCTAATATTAAATCGTTGGTAACATGCGGTAGACATACAGCAGAAAAATATCCAGAAAATCGAAAATAGTGCAGCCGAAGGCAAACATTCAGTCAGAAAAATCTAAAGTTCTGTTGATCAGAAAATTCAATCTTCGCGATGAAATCAAAAGTAACGTCACCTTATTTGGTCAGCAGGTACTTCAACTGCTAAACACCTCGGGATACCCTCAACAGTTCCCTTACCCGGTCAATACGTATTAGCAGCGTTTGCAGCAAAGCAGTGAGAGTTGAAATAAGGAAACCCTTTGCTTTCCCTATGTTATCTGATCACTAATTATGCATCTCCCATCTGGGCGAATTCAAATGTAAATGATATTCATAAACTTCAAAATATTCAGAACAAAATATTGGGAATAATTGCAGAAGATCTTTTTTTAATTAGAAGTAACACCCTGCATTCTGATTTAAAGATCGAAAATGTATACTTATCTGAAATAAATGTTATTTCTGAGCCTTTACTTATATAAATTTTAAAATCTGGCAACAGAAACTGCATTAATTTATTTGTAATTCTGTTTTAGTTCTATATGTTTAGATCACCGCTGGCCGTTTTATAACTTGCTTTTCTTACATTAAACCAGTGTTCCTCAACCTTTTAGTATTCACGGCCCAATTTTCAATCATAATTTTCATCGCCCACCCCTCCCCACCGCATACAATAAAATGTATACAATAATAATATATTTTGAGTATTTTTGCGCTAAATCTACACTACAACCTTAATTTTAAACTTTACAAATTACCAAGAATACGGAAATTTATTGACATTTTGCAACACCGATCCTCGGTATTGAAAAAACAAGAATCCTATGCCTTTTTATTGCTCTTGCGTCCCGCCATGTCGAGCATTCTCATGGTTTCTCGAGAAGTTTCGATTTGTCTGGAATTTGTCTGATCAGCTTAAAAGTTAAGTTAGGAGCGTGCGCAGATGTGAACAAATGTTTTCTCATAGGGAGAAGGAGAAAGTTCTATGACGCCAATTTCAATTCCAGACAAATCATTCGATTCGAGTCGATCCTTCTATCGCTATTGAATCTATTCTGAATGTGTATGTTATATATATTTCGTGTAATTGCAATTCACCGTATTAAATATTCGCGGCAGCAGACTTATGCAGAATAATGAATAAATTTTTAAGCGGGCGTAAGCGAGCATTAGACGATAGACAAGCATCAACAAGTACACAGAAGAACGTGGTTCCGAAAATAAAATCAAGAAAATATTCTCAAGAATACTTAAATTTTGGGTTCACTAGTACTGAAGTAAATGAAATAAGAAAGGCCCCTGTGTATCATTTCATTTGCTCAAAAATATTGGCGGCAGACAGCAATAAACTTAAATAAACCTAATAAACTTAAACGACATTTGGAAACGCTTCATAGTGAGTACGTAAACAAACCCAGAGAATTCTTCGAATTAAAATTAAAATCATATGAAAAGCAAAAATCATTCTTTAAAAAACTTTGTTTGTGAATGAAAAAGCTTTAATTGCCTCTTACAAAGTTTCATATAAAATAGTCAGATGTAAAAAGCCTCACACCATTGGTGAAGAGCTTAATTTGCCAGCCGCAATTGAGATTGTAGAAATTATGTTTGGAGATAATTTTGCAACCAATTGCAATCTATACCTCTTTCAAATGATATTGTTGCCCGTCGAATTGCTGATATAGCTGAAGATGTAGAGTGTCAGCTTTTGCCGAAGTTACGTGACAAATTGTTTTCAATACAACTCGATGAGGCAACAGATAGTAATAAAGATGCTCATTTCATTGCCTATGTTAGATTTTGTGATGATTTGTCAGTAGTAGAAGAATTACTTTTCTGCAAACCAATAGAACTCAAAGCAACAGCACTCACATTATTTGCTATCTTAAATGATTTTATGAACGAGTAAAACATAGAAGGGAAAAATTGCGTTGGAATATGCACCGATGGTGCTCGTTCTATGTCCGGAAGATTCCAAAGTATTGAAGCACTTGCGAAACAAAAATCGCCACAGTGCGTCTGGACACATTGCATGATCCACAGAGAAGCTTTGGCTTCCAAAGAAATGAGTCCTGGTTTGAAT